ATGTAAATTATTTAGTAGCACATAACATCATGTGAGTGCAATACTCTATGTATATAGTATCAATGTATTATCAATTTTCCTTTATTTAAAATCCATAAGTTCAAGATATGGATTTTATACGCACAAGACTGGTATATTTAAAATATTATTCCGCAGCCAAAATAGGAAAACCAATGTACAAAAGATAGGTATTAATAGTTTTATATATAAATAGCCTGTGTACACATGATACTAACTGGTGCGCACGTTTATCGTCTTGTGTCAACAAAATAAAACTCTAGTACTCAAAAAATAGATTCTGTTCAGTCGTTTGTATGTCGTGAATACAAGATCTTCCACTCACAAGATACAAATGAGTGAACAGGATCAATGCACCCACATGTGCCTATTTTTCATTTTTTTTACTTAATTGGATTCATGGAAATAATTAGTAAAAAAGTGAATTCATGCTCATAAGCTAAAATATAGGATTTTATCCACACTGGTGCAAAGGAGTCAAAGGTCTCCACAGCTAACGGGCTACCCCACATTAGCATGTACGCGTGCGCATGCGGAGGGCCGGACGTTGTTTTGTTGCAGTCCTGCGGAGCGATTTACCTTTGACCTGGTTGTTGCATTCCAGAGAGGCTTGTCCTGCAGCAGCAGCAGCTCTAGCACCTCCGCCACTACGGTCTGCACTGCTCTCAAGGCTCCAGTGCTACACATACAAACGATGTGTGCTCAGCTCTTTTAGTCAACGGAAGCCTGGGCATAGTCGTGGCAGTCATTGGAGACGAGCTAACACCATAGCATAAAATCCACCGCCTCGGCTCTAACCTAGACGCAGTTAGCCATTTTGCTTAAGCAGCTGAGCCGCCATCGTATTGGGGGTTTGCTTTGTAGAAGAAACAGCAGGCTAACAGATCGCAGACAGCAGCGCAGAGGAAATGAAGGACAAACAAAAGAGAAAGAAGGAGCGGACCTGGGCTGAGGCAGCTCGCATGGTACATTATCTTGTTATGTTGTATTTGGCTACCTGCTCTCTAAGTCATGAATTAATGGCAAGTGATGGATCCATATGAGGGTTGTGTTTGTGATTTAATTCTTCTCACGACCACAGCCTGTGTTCTAGTAGTACAAGCTACACACTAACGTGCCAGTGTTAACCCTACATAAAGGTGCGTTTGTTGTGTCATCGATGGGTTTCGTTTTATATTAGAAGCCATTCTTTCAGGCTTTAGATGGAAAGCATTTTTCTCGATATTCCATCTTTAGTTGTCGCTACCATCACTTACCTCTGCTGTTTTTAGCTCTTTGTTTGCTAGGTAGCTAATATGCTAACGCTAATTAGCATCTGAACAACACAGATCATCAGCGCTGTCATAGATTTATTCAATTATTGTGAATGGGAACTGTAAAAATTGAAACATGGTAACAAGTTACAATGCTTAGTGTGCCTCGTAGCCGTATATAGTTGTCGATTTCAACGTTGCTGGACATTATGCATGGCACTATAGGCTAAGCTAGAGAGCTAACATTGACCACTGTGTCGGTTGTCGTGGGAACTCGCTTTGTCAAAGGATAGTACAAGACTAGCATAGTTTAATGTTAATTTCTCGTCAATCACATAACATTGGTGTTTTCAAATACAGCCACCAGCAGCTTGTTTATGCAGAACACTTAAGTGTCGACGTTGATACACTTAAATTAAATTACCTATTTACAACTAATTAGTTAGTTGCCTACATGACAGATTGCTCATGTGCAACTGTGCCCATATACCCTACAGCTATATTATTATACCTTTACTTTATAACCACATCTATATGTATTACCAGTGTACACTTGAAACATGTCACGCACACAATGGAACCTAGAGTTAGTCATCAACATCCCTCAATGAATCCATGTAAACATTATTTAAACAAAGGTCTATAGTAAATGTGACTAATGATCACTTAATTGATCATGTTCGTTTGATTGTAAGATGATCCAGGTCTTCTTACACAGAACATGGTGTATGTGTTTAAGTTCGCTAGAATGACAGACAATAGTTTAAGTGGGAGGGTGAATATAACTGAACAGCTTGTGTTATTGACAGCTGACAGTCAGTGCAGCTGATGATGTAACCTCCGTAGGCAGTCACATATGGTGTCTGGATTAGGAAAGATATGAACCAAGGACCGACAGCATTGCAGGCAAGAATCACACCGATGTACCATCGGTGCCCCCACCCTCCCATTCGGATTCCATTGTCTTCTCCTTTGGTTCCCCTCTAATTGTGATTACAAATTTGAGAAAACATATAGGAAACGACTTGCAACTTGCAGTTCACACTCTATGTATGGTCATTAAGATCATTTTTACTGACACATCACACCAGAAACATGTCCATGTAAGTTCTCTATTTTCCCATTATTTATTTTATATGAAGCAGTTTATAAATAGGAAACAGAACTGGATTAATTAAGGAATAGAAAAAATACTTTGCATTCAGCAGGGATTTCATTTTTTGTTTGCTTTTATATTTTGGTTATTAAAAAAACCCACAAAAAATTAACAGATTTTGTCATTTATTTTTTAAAAATATAATAGTTTTAATGGAGAATTTTACATACAGTTGATTATGGGTAGAAGGTTCTTGTATACGTTTCTAAGATACTTCTTTCTTCTTACATTGTGTTGCAGTAAACAAACAAATCAGTAAGATACAGACACTATTTAAACATAACCATGTACTCCAATCACAGCTCGTCCCACCACTTGGGTTTACGGTAGGCACTCACTGGTTCAACTTGCATATCTGCAACAACTTACAAAAGAAAAAACTGCTGCCCTTTCTCAAAACCAAAGTGAAAGTAGATGTGATTTGGGGTGAATGGTGTTTTTTACTACTTTTACTACTTAAAAATATATGTAGGTTTATGTATCTTTGAAACATCTGCATCTCATTGGCCATATTTGCACTGTCAAGTTTGTCCCAATATGCATTTCACTGCTAGAATACATGCACATTTCCACGTGGTTATTTTTGTGTCTTGGTGAGTCATTTCTTTTGTCACATTGAAATCATTAGATTTTTAAAAACTGAATATGCTCTCTGTATTCTATCTGAGCATTTGTATCACTGAATATCTTTCAGGTTTTGGAGAATTTTTCTGATGCCCCCATGACTCCCAAACAGATTCTCCATGTGATCCAAACCAAAGGGCTGAAGGAAATGCGGTCAGATATACACAGACACACAAGCATGTTTTTCAACTTACAAGCATCAATTAGTAAGAAAATTGGTGATGCCATGTTAACTGATTTGTAAAGAATTGTTGTGTATAGTTAAAAAAAGGTAAAGGAAGTAAAGTTTGACCTTATTATTGTGACTGAAAAACTGTTTTCTTCCTCTTCATTTTTCTCTATGGAAACATTGACCTGCTTTTGACTTACAGAAGGTAAGACGATGATTTCTCTTTAGTGGAATTAATGAATCGGTATAATAAATGTGCAGAAATGTCAATTAAATGTGTACATTGTATTTGTCCAGTGGAACAGCCCCGTTGGCCTGTCTGGTCACCATGCTACACTCCCAGGTGCGAGGAGACAGAGTCAAGAACAGCATCTTTTTCAAACTCCCTGGACGAATGAGCCTGTTTACCCTGAAGGTACAGAATCATTATTCATTGAAGTCGCTTTGACTAAGCAATGTCATCCTTTAACATAAGGTTACAAACATACACATTTGTATTAGTAGAGGAATGTTTGAATTGTATGGAAGAATTTTAAAATGGTCAAAATAATCAGTGTGGGAAATAAAAATAAAGATTAGAATAAAGTCATCTTTGGAGAAAAATCTGATTTATAAAATAAAAAATGGCATTGAAAAATATTGAACAGTTTCCAAATTGTATTTGATTTTAATAATGCCAAGTGTTCATTTTCTGGGCCAGTTACAAATCTGAGAGACAATTTTCCAGTTTAAAACAAGTTGAGTGAATTTTAGAGTGTTTATTCTGACTGTGTGCTGTTGACCGCTGACACTCTGCAGAAGAACGCTCTGCAGTGGACAAAGACAACCTCAGAAACAGAAACAGCAACTGAAGCAGCTGGAAGCACTGCCCAGCCAGGGTCTGGCAGCAGCACCCCTGCTGCAGGCTCAGCTGTGGGTCCCATTGGTCCCTCAGAGGCCACCGAACAGGAAAGCTGTGACTCTTCAGAGACCACTGCTGCTGCCAGTGGTGACAATGATGGTAAGACGTTACTTATTTTTAATTCTTCTTGTGTGTGATGTGTGCAGAGCTGCAGATAAAGAAGTTATCCCCCCATTGCCAAAGTAATAACAGTAATTGGAAAAAAAGATACCGTATCAAAGCATTAAATGTTTTCTTAAATAACATATAAAGCGATAAGTCTCTGGTCTTAAATAACCCTTTTGTGATCTGTTAAATTAAATGTATGATTACTGTGTAAAATACTAGAAAAATAAGAATCTGTAGTGGCTTTGTTGTTAATGTAGTTTATTGTGTGCTTAAATAGTGCACAGTTACATTAGTGTTTACAGTTTTTCTTTTCTCCTGTCTAAAGCCTCAGTAGATGAAAGTTCATCCAGTGCCTCCACAGAGGTTCCAGCTCCCCCCAGTCAGCCACAGACCCGCTTGAGCAGATCAGCAGGACAGCAGGGACGCACAGAGGCACAGCAAACCCAGCATGCACAGCATGCCCAAACTAGACTGAGCCGTTCGAGACAGGTCAGAACCCTGCAGGAGGCCAAATTTCTACTAAACACTAATACAGGAACCACGGTGGAGGATTTCTTTTCTCTAAGGACATTGTTTTTAGTCATTAGTTGTACAGCATCTTCAAAAGAGGCTGCTGCTTATAGATGTTCCTACCTTGACTTACTTGTCTTCTCCTCCGTTTATAGTCAGGGAGACAGAGGAAGAAAGCCGTTATGATGCCTCGCGTTGTCCTCACTCCTCTGAAAGTAAACGGAGAGCACGTACCCTCAGGTAAGGTCTTTGTCTAGACTGTTCATTAGGAATGTGAAATCAAAAGGACGTCATGCTTTATACTAGAACATGCAGATCCTTAAAGATACAGCTTGAAGAAAATTGTTTTGTAACAGGGCCTATGAAGAGAAGTCGAGGAGGAGTGGATGTAGACTTTGAGACGCCAGGCTCTATCCTGGTCAACACCAACATTCGAGCCCTCATTAACGTGAGAACGTTTGCAGCCTTTCCCACACACTCACAGCAGCAGTTGCTGCAGCTACTGCCAGAGGTTGACCGTCAGGTATGTTGTTTTTAATCTTTTTTTAAACTTTGGAAAGTGTTTTGAAGATTTGTTTTATTTTTATTTATTTTTTTCCACTTCTTGGGAAAACAGATTGGAACTGATGGAATGGCCAGACTCAGTAGTTCTGCTCTGAACAATGAGTTCTTCACACATGCCTCCCAGAGCTGGAAGGAGAGACTGGCTGAGGGTACATGTTTGTTCACAAGCATGCAGCTGTATGCAATGCTTATTTTCAAATTTGAAGTTCCTCATATAGAATTACATGTGTTTTTTTAGGGGAGTTTACCCATGAGATGCAGGTGCGGTTTAGACAGGAAATGGAGAAAGAGAAGAAGGTGGAGGCGTGGAAGGAAAAGTTTTTTGAAGAATACCATGGGCAAAAGTAAGAGTCAACATAACTTAAGAGTCTTAGTTTTCTTTTCATACTTCTGCATTATCATGGGGGTTATCATTCTTTTCATCTGCCAATAAAGTATTATTGTAGAAAATATCTAAATTGATTAGTCACCACAACATTTGTAGTTGACGCTTCACTTTACATTTCATTTTACATTTCATAATATCATGCCTTAATTAGACATATCCCTTGAAATCCGTGTGTGGATTTCTGAATTGTGCTATGTGTTTCTAAAGGTCTGGCCTGACACGAGAGGAGTCCCTGAAGTTGACAATGAGTGAAAACAGCGAAGTTACCGCCAGTGTGCTTGACAGTGACGTGGCAGTGGTGGCGGCTGTTGCCCCCAAGAGACGCACAGTGGGTCGACGGAGAAGAGATGGCAGGATGAGAAGACGAACCAGAGCTGACCTGCGACGAAGAGCCCGTCGGACCCTCTGCAAAACTGCTACTCCTGCACTAGCACCAGCAGAACCCACAGAGACCAGTGTTGCTGTGGACATAGCAGCGGTCACCATTGGCTCCCCCATTTCTGACAGTACAGTGGTTCAGAGTGAGGTGGTCCTCCCAGCTGAATGTGGTGTGGAAGTTCCAGATGAGAGTACCGCTTTAGAACCAAAGCCCTCTGCTAGTCCAACACCAGCTGTTTTGCCGGCCCCTACTCCCACTCCAACTCCGACTCCGACACCAACACCGACTCCAACCCCCACTCCCAGCCCAAGTCCGAGCCCTGCTTCTACAAGTGCAAACGAGGAGGCTGAAGTTGCAGCCCGTTTGCTTCCTGAAGAGACAGCACCTGCGCTGGCTTCAACCTCCTCCCCTTCTTCCTCCTCTTCATCTGTGTCATCTGCTTCCTCACCCGCTTCCTCACCCTCGTCTCCATCAGATCAACAGGGAGCTTTTGCCGCTGGCCTCGACTCATCTTCATCCTCCTCAGGATCATCCAGTGCTGCTGTGGTGGCCGATCCCTTGGATGATACCGCCTCTGTGGTCACCTCCATCACAGGTGGCACAGCCACCAGCAGCCGTGACAGCAGCCCCTCAGCCAGCCCAGCCAGCACCTCCGTGCCCAGCACCCAGCCCAAGGAGCAGAAAAGACGACCAGATGAGGGTCAGGCCTTCTCCAGCTTCCCCGAAAAGAGGCCACGGCTTGATGACCGTCAGTCCTTTCGTACCACAATTGACGGTGTCCGTTCAGAAAAGCCACAGCCGACAACCGAGGAACCCAAGGTGCCGCCTATCCGGGTAGGTTTTTGCTTTGTTAGCCTTGGTTCTAAAATATTATGTTTTTCTTGGATTACTGACTGGTGTGTGTGGGGGGTGTGTGGGGTGTGTGTCTCTTTCAGATTCAACTGTCCAGAATCAAACCTCCCTGGGTCAAAGGCCACCCCACCTACCAGATCTGTCCCAGGATCGTGCCGCCCAATGAGGGCTCGAGGCGGTCGGGGACGGGGGGTGCACGCACCCTGGCAGACATCAAAGCACGTGCCCAGCAAGCCCGGGCCCAGCGCGAAGCCGCTGCTGCTGTTGCAGCCTCTGCCGATGGGACGGGGACAACGGGGGTCAGGATGCGGTCTGGTGCTGGGTTACCGGATAGCAGCAGTGGAAGAAGAACACGAGAGCATCCCGGACCTATTGAACCCGGGGGAGGAGGAGGAGGAGGAGGAGGAGGAAGAGGAGGAGGAGGAGGAGGCAGAGGAGGAGGAGGAGGAGGAGGAGGAGGAGGAGGGTTTTTTGGGCCAGGCAGAGATAAATTGTTGAAGGGTTTATTTGTCGCACAATCTCTCCTTGCACCACAGCTCCTCCATCAGTGTGGCTGTCATTAGTTGCCTCCTCACTGCTCTGTCTCAGTGAGTGTTCAAATCACCGTTCATTCTTCTCCTGGTTCCTTAACCCTTATTTTGTCTCTTTACTCTCTGTCTGATTACTAATAACCACTATTTGTTTTTTAAATCCCCCAACAAACACACAACTCAACTCTCTTCTACGTCGTATTTAATGCAGCTCTTATCTTTAACAGAGACAGAAACAGAGACGGAGTCAGAGACAGAGGAGGAGGAGGAAGCAGTGGAGATCAAGGGATGGATGAGCAGGGATCGTCTTCGAGCACTAATTCATCTGGAACACAACTACAGCTTCTCAATGTAGATCCCACACCTCAGCCATCCCCATCTCTGTCTACTACCTCAACTTCTTTGTCATTGGATCCTCCCCAGACCCCAAGTCCTCCTCGAGAAGAGATGGCTGGTACCCCAGAGAATGTGGAGGAAACAGATTCACCATCAGCCAGTATTCAGTGTCCTTCTAAAGACCTAACAGACAGTGCAGCTGACTCAGCCTCTTTAGAGACCATCACTGTAGCTAAGTCTTTGGCCACCCACACCACTTGTCAAAACTCAATGCCAGGCTCTGCTGCTGCTGCACCCTCAGGAGGTACAGCACCAGACGCTGTAAAACCACCACTGGCCCCTACGTCAATCCCTGACTCTCTTCCTAGGTTTGGGGCAAATGGTGTAGATGTTATTCAGTCCTTGGCCAGTTCCTCTCAGTCTAAGGAAAAGGAGCAGGGGAATGGGGCTGGCTTGGGCAGTGTCATCCAGCATGGTTCAAAACATGTAGATCAGCTTGAGACTGGCCCTCATTTACCAGTAGAGAGGCCACTTACTGATTCCCCCACCTCACCAAACGTAGGCCCCCGTAAAGCAGAGAAGGATGATGAAGCTGGAATACACAGTGACTCTACAGAAACTGCGTCTGACTGTGAGAATGAGAGTCAGGAAGACGAGCAGCAGCCAGACCATGAGTGGTGTTCCTCCCTAAGCACCCAGAGAAATGGCCCGCGTGTCATTAATAGTTTGTCACCACAGAACCAGCAGCCAGTGATCCAGACCCATGTGTCAGGTCGTCAGGGTCAGACTGTAATTCAGCCTTGCATCCCCAACAGCTTGCCTCACACTCAGCGACATCGCAACCATTCTCAGGACCGTGAAACCCAACCCACACCCCACCAACAAGGGCTTAGAGACGACAATGTAGTGATCAAAATGGAATCTGGGGAAGATTGTTGGAGTAGACAGATTTGTTCAGAGGAAGAAAACCGTGATGGATTAAAGACTTCTTTCTCTCACCAGACTGCTGCAACTGCCTCCAAAAGACTTGGTAGCTCAGCCAGACCTGTGTCTACTGTGGAGGCTAACAATCCCTTGGTCACTCAGTTACTACAGGGCAGTCTGTCTCTTGAGAAAGTACTACCAACACATTCTGTCAACAGACTGGAGATCAGTCGAATGGCAGGTCCCCAGTCCAGACCTCCGCTGTCTCGCCACAGGCCTGAAGGTTTGACCAGTTCTGCTGCTTCAGATCAGAGTGCAGTCTCTCAGAGTCACAGGTCTCCAACAAGCCGCACAGTGTCATGTCTAATGGAGGCACCAGCCTCACAGTATCATTCCCAACAGGCCCCCGCAGCTGTCCCAGTCATCACGTCTGTGCCCCCCTCTTCATCCTCTTTCACCTATTTGTCCTGCAGAACAAAGTCAGACATTGGGACTCAAGCTGCAGTGGAATCCGCAGTTATCAGAGACTCTCGTGGGCCGCAGCCTTCGCCAGGGGCAACCCCAGACAGGAAACAACCAGTGCACAGGACCATTCCGAATGGTCCATCTCCTCCCCATGCAGACACCTGCCCCACTGAAGTGTTGCCCACTATTAAAATCAACTGGCGTCCTCCACAGCCTCAGCACCCCCATCCTCAGCAGCAGCAGCAGCAGCTTTCTCCTGGTCCTGCTGCTACTGTAAAAAATGAAGTTGCTCCACGACCCCCCTGTCAGGCAATTTTAAAATCTTCTTCCACTATACCCATGATTGTTACCAAAAAGGAGCCACTTGGCTCCATGGACGGCTTTCTGAGTGGAGGGGCTATGGAGGGACTTCTTAACATGGAAATGACTTTGGCCAGGATGGCGAAAAAGGAGCACAACAAAGCGTCATACTCATCTGGTTCCCCCTCCACTTCATCTTCTCCTTCGCCTTCCTCCTCTAATTCCTCCCTTCCTTTCCAGCTGTACGGGAAACTCCCCAAACAGAGTGTAAGTGTTGGAGGTGTAAGTTACACAGCCAATGTGTCAGTGATGGACAATAATGGTTTCTCTCGGAGCATGGCAGATGGTGTTCTCCAGCTCCGACCCCGTTTGACCTCCAGCAAGACCCAACTGAGCATCCAGGCCTTTACTGACAGTGCAGCTGAGGAGGTGGCGCTCAAGTGCTCGTGCCGCCTCAAAGCCATGATTATGTGCCAAGGCTGCGGTGCTTTCTGCCATGACGATTGCATCGGTCCGTCTAAACTCTGTGTGTCGTGTCTGGTGGTCAGATAGTCCCTGTGCACTGTAGAACTGTATCTGTACAGAATCAGCAGCTGAACTAGACGCTCCAGTGTGTACAGAAGCCCGATGAGGCCAGAGCACACAGAATGAGAAAAGGGAGCCTAACAGGGAACACTCAGCTTGTAAAATGACTGGTCTGTATTTTTTTGTTGTTGCAGATTTTTTAGTTGTATTGATATTATATTATTGTTATTATTATTAATATTGTTATTGTGAATTTGGGGCATGATTGATTGTAAATTGTGCCTTTTTTGTTTCGTTTTTTTGCTCAAAAACATTTACCTCATCTTACCTTGTCCCACCTGTCGTCATGTGGTGGCCACAATTGTTTTGGTCCCTGGTTTCATCTGCAAACAGGGATGTATTGTCGTCTCTTTGCTCAAAGAAGTATTTTTTTAACCATTAAAATCAATTAATTAAATATGTATTGTTTTCCTTCTTTATTTACATCATCATCATCATCATCATCAATCTCCTCCACCATGTATGCGATAAGTTGATCTGCCAATTAGGATAAGTGCAGTACTTACGGAAGGATTCATGGACATAATTGAGGACAATGTTTTTCAACTGTGGGGTCATGACCCCACTTGGGTTCACCTGAAATGTATAGTCATTGATTTAAAAGAATAGGGTCACAAGTCAAAAAAGGTTGGGAACCATTAGTTAGGAAGACATAACGGTAACACAGATGATAGAGATAGTGAAGATGGTGATGAGGTGGCAGAAGGTTCAGTGTGACCAGCCCTGAAGGTGGCCAAGGAAAAACGAGAAGAAATCATATAAATACATGTAAGCACGTATTGATTCCACATGCAGTGTGGGTAAAACTTTATTTCAAGGGCAACTTAAAGACTAATCCGTACACAGTCATAAACACATCGACATTACAAAATAAATATTCACCATCACTTTGTTCTTCATCACTAAATAAATACCAAATATGTGCAGCTTAATATTCACAGTGTATTGCAATGTACTGAAAATAGTTTGTGGAAATAAAACGGGAAGAAAATCATATAAACATAAGCACCAAAGAAAATATATAGAAAATTATTAAAAACTTTTTGTTACAAAATATTTGCACTTAAAAAGATCCCTGTATTTTAAATAAAATAATAAGATTTATAAAACAATTCATATTTGATATCTTAAAATATTCCTCTTTGTTCAGTGGTGCAGAGGAAAATGATTACCTACTCTTGGTTACGGTTTAAAATCTTCTCAGGTAGCATTTTTTTCAAACGAAATTTTAAATAAATAAATAAATAGATACATAATATATAATAAATAGGCAAACAATTACAATAACATGAATACCTAAGTTGTTATTAAACCAACGTTTGCAAAGGACTTAAATAGTTAAGACAGCAATTGTAAGAATGAATCTACAAACTAGTGTTGGAGGTGCAACATTATCACTATGCTCATATAGAATACTATCAACATCACTGTGTGGAGATGGGACCTGTTCACTAAACTAAGGAAATCTGCTGGCCTCAGCCTCTACACTGCATTTCTGCCTTGCGTAAACCTTTGATTCCAGTGTGTTTACACACACACACACACGCACACACATAACATCCACGCTCACTCCACCAAAAGCAACATGCAAACAGGTAAAAAAAAAAGGCCAAAAATGAAACAAAAAAAAATTAAAAAAATTATCATCAAAATGCATTACACACACTATGTGAAAAGTGTGGAAACAGAGTGGCGAGGTCACTGCAATTGCCCCCACCCTCATCCACGCTCTCCTGCCACCTGGTCAAACCTCAATCCCTTTTACAGCCTGATTGATGGACTCCAGCAGAGCCCGGTTCTCGGGATTCTGATAGCAATCTTTGTTGGTAAACATGTGGGTCAGTGTGTCCACGTAACTGTCGAAGTTGTGTTCAGACAGCGGTTCCTGCTGTAAATGAACAGACACACACAAGTTAGTAAGTTAGAAAGATACATTTACAGTTTATGCTGCTGTATTTTAATATTTGTCACACCGAATATACGCTGACAGCCAAATGTTTAAGAATCACATGATTATTGACTATTGACTGTTTTTAAGTTAACCAAGTCAAATCATTACAGCTACTACAGCACTTTACATAAGACAGAGAAGGCTAGACTAGGATGGGAGGACGTACCATTGTGGGTAGGTGGATGTTTGTCAGACTCCGGATTAGGGCCTGACTCAGGCCTGACAGCTCTAAGAAGAGAGCTTCATTTCTTTCCTCAATTTGTTTATTCTCATCCTCCATGCTCTTGAGATTCTTTTCCATGGAAGAAATCTGAAAATGGAGACACAGAACAATCAAGACACCCCTTCAGAAAAGCTGTTAATCAGTTAAAGTTTTAATGGGAAATTAAGCTAAGCTAAGTAAACAAGCTATTCAAACAGTTTGTCTTTTTTAATGATGAACAAATGTTGAAATTATGTTGATAAGCAGTAAGACAGCACCTAGCTAGGACCCTCGATAAACAATACTGCTACAATTCAGAATACAGATTTAAAATGCCAAAACCACTACAACCATTTAAGCAATTCCAATTAAATTCCAATTAATGTGTAACTGCGATGAATTATTTTTGCAGTACTACAGTGATACTTTTATTAACCAAATGATTTTGTTTATAGCATCTATCCATTCTTCTTCTGATCTTACCTGAGTGTGCAGATTCATCATGTCCATCTCCATCTCTGAATTGGACTCATTCAGCTCGTTGATCTCCTTGTTGAGCTGCTTGATGTCCTCATCATTGTCCAGAACTGATGAAATCAAGCAAACAAAACATAAATAAATAAACACAGCCGTATTCTTCCCACAATTTGGGAAACTCAGTGTGACACTTTGCAACCCACACAGGTGTGGTTCCTCTGGGGCTCAGACCCCAGAGGTTAGTGAGCACTTGGAGCAGGAGGGACTGATGAAGAAGAATTTCTCACCATCACTCGCCCTGAACTTTGCAGTAATGTACTCGTCTCCAGGCAGCTTGGCTCTCTTCTTATTGGCTGATGCTCTGGGACAACCTGATAAACTGAACAAAAGGGAGCAGCTGGTCAGTATCACCACATACTCATCTTACATGGGTGACGGAAATAGACCCTAGTATGTGTACCTGCGATGTGTCAGGAAACTGCCGTTAGCGTGACCCGAGCCGTCACATCCTGGCGTCGGGCAAGTCGGGCCATCGCTCTTAAAGGCCTTCCAGGAGAAGGGAGTGCCGTTAAGAAGCCCCTCCTTCTGCCGGCGTGCTGCCAATGGACAGCCGTAGGCACTGCGGTGAGTGGCGTACTTTCCACTAATGTGGCCCAAACTGTCACAGCCCGGAACCGGACACCTACAGAAAGTATCATTTTGAATTATACATGGAAGCTCCAAGCTATTCATGGGGAGAGGCTGATGCTCACCTCAGCAGTTCAGAGTCTTCCTTGTCATCCTTGGTGGGGGTGATTTTGATTCCACTTTTTTTTGCCCTTGGACATCCAGAAAGACTGGAGGTGTAAACAGACATATGCCATTTAAAGCACCCCCAATTTCAAGACAATTTTATCAAAGGCTGTACTTGTTTCCTGGGGTGTTATAATTCTCTAACACAATAACATTTTTATTATTTTCTTTTATTAAAATTTGGCTAACATATACATAGAGGATGATAGTGATAATATTGTGTAATATTTTATACATTTAATGGCTAATTTACCTATATTTATATTTCTATATTTTTGTTTTACAATGATTTAAGCTTATCTTGCTGGTAGCCATATTAGGACAAACATATCACTATTTGTGGGTCATTTTTTGCCATTTTCCATATTATAATTATATACATGTGGTCATAGATTCATTTTTAACCAACTTTTACTTACTTTTTTCTAACCTAAAGCTAATTCCCAGTTATTAGGCTGCAGAGCTCTTACCTTCTGTGTGAAGCATAGTTCCCAGTGATGTGGCCTGATCCATCACAACCTGGAGTCGGACACCTGAAACACACAGACATACCCCTGATGACTCGGACATACCACATACCAACATGTCCCAGTCATAAGTCACTACCACGCTGCAGGTATTTATGCCATATGTCACATCTGGTTAGTGACAGGTATCTGTACGACCCACATAATGCAGCACAAATCTGGTTAGGGCAGGTGCAACGTCATGAAGTCTCATCACTACACTACCAGGTTTGAATCTAGCTACAGGAACATGTGAGGTCAAAGGTTTGTGAATGTAAGGGAATGTTTTAGAAAAAGGCTTAAAATTCAGAGAACACTGCTGAATTTTCATCATTGTGTACAGGAGAGGAACAGAGCGTCACTGCTCAGTGAATATGTTGTAGGTGAGAGACAGAAGAAAGCAGACATACTTTAGTTCAGCTGTGTGGGCAGCCATGAGGGTCCGAAGGGATTTATCAGCAAGAGGACAGCCTGACAGACTGGAAGATACGTTAGAGAGAGAGAACGAGTCAGAGAGGCAGAAAGTGGATACACTGTGAGAGGATAAGAGTGTGAGCCCAGTTACGGAGTGAGAAAAGGAGTGTGAGCACAGATATAGACAGGTCTGGAATATCTGAGGTCTTGCAGTACAGAGGTGTACTCAGGCTCTCTCAACTGCTAGCATGGCTAACACAGTTGGTGGAGCATGCAACTCTCAATATCACGGTTGTGGCAGTTTTGGGGATGGCACTACCATAGTGACCTATGACCTAGGTTTACAATTAGAGGACTCATGTCTAAACTCTGCTGTGTGTCACTTAGTGAAGAATGATCAACAAATGTCCCAGTAATATTTAGACAAAGAGTTTAGATTTGAAGTATAGCCGTGCAGGTCTAACCTTCGATGTGATGCGTAGTTGCCAGTAATGTGTCCACTGCCATCACAGCCAGGCGTTGGACATCTAAAACCAAGAAACATAGCAGTCACACAGCAGGTACTGGCACGACACAAAAAATGTGACGGCAACATTTGAGCCAACAGTCAGGTATGAGGTGGGTGTTTTGGTCAGTAAAGACTTACACAAGAAGGTCTTTTTTGCTGTCTTTGGGCTGAAACTTGACCTTGAAGCTGCTAGTGGTGACCTCACCCGGGTACTTCCTGTCCTCCAGGTTCTCCTGGTCCTCGTCCTCGCCCTCAGATGATGTGTATGACGGAGCCAAAGTCTCCACCTGCAGCAGAGAAAGCGCACAGTTAGGCGTCACGTTCCTGACACCCTCTGTCGGCCTCGGAGAGTAGAGTCAGTACCTCCTCATGATCTTCCTCTTTGACTCCACTTGATTTGGTGAAGTCCAGTGGTCCTTCCCACTCCGGCTGAGAGTGGCCCTGAGACACAGTGGGTCCAAGGATTTGAGAAGACGAAGATGAGGAAGATGACGCCTCTGGAGACTGCATGTCTTCCCTCTTGGTCTTTTTCATGCTGAGATCCAATGTGCCGTTTTCGTCCACTTCGATGTCTGACTCCTGTGGTGTTTCAGTTTGGAGAACACAGTTGATTTGATGAGGTGGTATAGAAGCCCTCGTCAGAACGATGATGAACATACATGAATGTACCTTGTTGCAGGTTTCTGCGGGCTTGGTGCTGAATGTCTCGGGTCTCTCCCAGCAGCGGGTGGATAGGTTGAGGATGGCTGTTGCAGCCATGTGTGCTGCCTCTGCGTCCTGGGTGTAGTCATATCCACTGGAGGACGACATGCTCTTGGAAAACCCACCAGACACATTGTGAGTTGGCGAGGAGGCCTTAGGGAATGATTTAGCTGTGTGGAAGTAACGGTGAGTCAGTCCACTGTTGTTCAATCACTGTGTGACACTAACACTGGGTAATGTTGATAGAACTTCAATGATCAGTGGAATTTTGTCATTTGAGTTTTAGTGATACTGTAGACAAATGACGAGTGGAACCTACGTTTAAAGGCTTTTGGTGATGTTTCAGCAGCGCAGGGTGTCTTTGGAATGAGCGTTCGCTTTCCAAACACCTGGACATCAAAGCTTGCATAGTCGAATGACACCTTAGAGTATTTCTCCAGCTCCTTGGCCAGGTTAGCTCGAGGTGTGGTGGTCACGGTGTTGGGCCTGTAGCTGCCGTACTGAGGGATCTCCAGCTGCTTCACAAAGCACATGGGCCTGCAGGGAAAATGTCAGGAGTTACATTTGAATTATTGCCAGAACATGGGGGTACAGCAGAAACCTGTAATTGTCATGGTCGTTTCTAGTCTGACCTGAGGACTCTATCAGAGTTGGAAGAGGGTTCACTGGAAGTAGGCTGCAGCTGAATCTGCTTGTCCTGGGTCTTGGTGAGTTTGGTTGCTGCTGCGATAGGGCAGCCAGACAAACTGAGGGAGAAACGCAATTCTGAATATATTGGCATCAAAACAGACACAGATCAAGGTGAATTTTTGTTGAGTTTTGTAAAGACAGTTACTGTATATGTTAGTATATGTTAGCAAAATAGGAAGAGGTTATTCTTTCAAAAGTCATTTATTAACTGGAGTTCTTCAAAATGTTTCATGTGTTTGTCTTTAATGTCAGATTGTTGTTACGCTCATGATAAAATGTTGAAGATGCTCAGTCTGAGTGTTGTGTGTGCATGTGTATGCTTTGTATTGACCTGCGATGTGTGTTGCGGTTACTGTTGACATGTCCTTGGCCTGTGCAGCCAGGAGTCGGACACTTCAACACGTTCTCATGCATGGCCAGAACTACAGACACACAGCAGGTAGAACGACAGACTCAGGTCAGTATCCCACGTTAGGAGCGGCGGTGCAGGAATTTAATATGCAACAGATACAGAAGCTGACAAAGTGTTAAGGGCATTGAAAGCAAGAGGTTACATTTTTAGTAGTTGTTTACCGTAACTGTGGGAAAGAAATGTTATCATCAGCATTTACATTTAAAACACACACCAACGAGTGATGACGCCTAACGTTAATGCATTAGCTGTGACTTAAATCAATGTTAAATGTGTTAACACTCTCTACTCACTCTCTGGGGGGATTCGATCTTTGTGAGGACATCCAGACAGGCTGCGGTGGTGAGGGTACAGCCCAGTCACATGACCTGTACCATCACACCCTGGGGTTGGACACTTCACTTCCTTCTTCTCTGTAATAAAAGGGATTAAGGAGACACTGATGAATACATAGGGATGTGTGATAGTGTATAGTACTGTATAACACTTTATTTTGACTTCACATAAAGTAAAGGTGTGGCGGCGTATTTAATGATCTTGATTTCTTTAAATTGACAAAGGGATATTAATGAATTAGTCTTACATACAACAAAGATATGACACAAATCAACAAGACTGAGGATAAAAGAAAAGGAAATGAACTATCAAGAGAAACATATGTAGGTGTGTTTAATGTAAAACCTAAGGTACCGTACAACCAGAAGGTACAGTATTAACTCATAGAGCTTTGTCCATCAAAGTAGCATGGCTGTTTCTAGTGCAGCACTACCTCAATGTCACGTACATTCAGCAGAGGCTCCTGCCTTACATTACTCCTCACTAACCCGCTCCTAAACCTCCCCAATATAACAATATTTTTGACTGAGGGTTGTGAATAGAATTTGAAAGTACTGGGCCACGTGTCCTTGGAATTTTTAGTGAAATTTAGTTTAAAACTTTGTATAAACCAAAGTTTATCATTTGAAAATAATTAAAATAAATAAATATTCCATTTGTTGCTACCTTTGCTGTAGTGAGAGGTCCGTCGAGCCATGGTTGCAGGCTCAGAGCCCCTGCTGGACGAGCTGTAAGGTTGGTATTCGGGGGAGCTGTGAACCTCATGACCTCCTTTCACCTCCTCAGCCTTCAAGGCAATGGCCTTCTCCAAAAGCCCAAGGTTCCCTCGAGTCATATCCCAGTTATCGGAGTCATCTGTGATCCCTGAACCCTCTGAGACACGATCCTGCTCCTCTCCTTCGTCTTCGTCCTCCTCCTCCTCTTCCTCTTCCTCCTCCTCCTCTTCCTCTTCATCCTCCTCATCGTCCTCGTCCTCAGAGTGGACTTCTATCACCACTGTGGTTGGTGATGCTTTGCCAGAGTCTCGGTCGTCCTCCTCATCCAGCACCTCCCCTGCTTCCTTTCCTTGCCTCTCGTCATCCTCGTCATCCTCTTCTTCCTCCTCCTCCTCCTCTCTATCATCTTCCTGTCCTTCATCATCATCATCATCCTCATCTTCCTCAGTCATGGGGGTGCTGACTTTTTCTTCCCTGAGTGACACCTCAGTCTCTGATTCCTGAGTGGGTGGACTCAATGTGTAAGGAGTGTCGAATTCTGGGTGGACCTCCCTCTCTTCTGCTTCATCCTCTTCTTCCTGCTCTTCTTCGTCTTCTGCTTCTTCCTCATCCTCCTCTTCCTCTTGTTCCTCCCTCATACTCTGCATCTCAGGTTGGTCTTTGGCTTGATGTTTGTATTCACCACTGGAGTATTGGTGATCCAAGTTTTCCTGGTTCATCATCTGTCTTATCACCTCCCTCTCCACTACAATATTTTCATTTCTTTCCTCCTGCTCCTCGTCTTCCTCCTCATTTTCTTCTTCCATGTCATCTTCTTCCTCTGCTTCTTCTTCCTCTGCCTCATCTTCCTCTTGTTCTTCTTGTGTTTCCTGTTCTGCCTCGTTTGTAGTATCGCACAGAGTAACCTGTGCTTCTTGTTCAGGTGGCTCTAATAAGTGCTCCTCTGTCAGCAGCTGACTCCCCTTCTCCCTCTCCTCCTCCTCCTCACCCAGCTCTTCTTGAATCTCCTCCTTTGCTTCCTCTCGCTTTTCTTCTTCTTTCTCCTCCTCTTCATCCTTCTTCTCTTCCACCTGCTTCTCTTCTTCCTGCTTCATAGTTTCTGTTTCCTCCTGGAGGAGATCGTCAGAGAGTTGTTGTTGCTTTTCTTCATCTCCAGGTTCTTCTCCTTCAGTTTCATTAACCTCTGATGGGACACTCTTGTCCTCCTCAGCTGGAGGACAGTCTGTTGTCTCCGCTGTTTCTGTGTCCGTGGTTGTCACTGCTGAGGGGTCTGCTGTTGATAATCACAAAACAATTGACAACATTGTTGTGGTTAAAACCTGCCACCCAGACATCTTCGACTTTCATACAGAGCCTACATATTTTATCAAATTAACTTCATAGAATTTTACATTTGTGTCTTTGTCTATTTCTTAGTGTTCCACTGCAGCATACAGCGTTTTGTTTCAACAGCTCTGTAGTTTTGAAATGTCAGTGGAATTGGATTAGATCGTTGTATTAGCTTGCTCCGCTCTGCAATCCTCATAACGATCTTTGGTTTCACTCACCTTGTGCTGACTCTGCCTGGCTTTTATTTCTGCTGTTTTTCTTCTCTTTATGCTCTTCATCCACCTCCTCTTCCTCTTCATCCTCTTTCTGCTCCTTCTCTTCATCACTGTCTGCAGTGGAGCTTCCCTCATTGGCCTGTTTGATTGGCTGGTTCCGCTTTTTGGGAGCAGACTGGTTCTCCTCTGCCTCAGCCCCGGCCTCCTCCAGTTTCCTTTTCTTCACAATCGGACATCCCAATACACTGAGGGGGGTGGAGAGGCATTTTTGGTGACTTTAATGAATTGCTCACAAATTTGAAATTTTTACATAACTATTATGTTGCAATTTGCCAACCGGACGTGTTTGAATCGTACCTCCTGTGCCGCGAATACCTTCCACTGACATGTCCTTTGCCGTCACATCCTGGGGTGGGACAGCTGCTACTGACAAGAGATATGATTAGTTAATTATATGATACATGTGTGTTTGATAGACATACTCCGTTGTCTTTTCTGAATCAAAAAGTTGCTTACGCTAAGTCCTGCTTCATCTCCTGCCCCAGCAGTTCTGATGAAGCTGAGGGTTAAAGGTAAATTAATCATTGGAGTAAAGTATTTATACATGTATTACACACAACAAATCACTTTGACCATATTTTTCTTGCTACTTACTACTTTCTGGCTAACTCTTAGTTAGCTTTTGCTATCAGCAATGCTTTTGTTTGCTTCTGATATCATTTGGCTAAAATTAATCTTCACAATGGCTTATTTCATTTATACATTTGACAACTTTAAACTTTTAAAGATGGGCCATGATTGTCCTGTATGTTATCTTATTGGCTAATATGAGCTCAACTTTTTCTAAGTGGTGTTTGATATACGGAACACTTCAAGTATAGCCCAAAATCCATCTGTTGTTCAAGTGTATGTGTGTCTTTACTCACCCCTGATGCCTTTGGAGCGTGTTCTTGTTCGTGTCTCTGTAATCTCTTGGCTCATCTGCAGTTTTCAGATATAAGATATAAGTAAAGTTCAAAAGAAAGAAAGAAGGAAACCAAAGTTTAAAAAAAGTAGTTTACTTTGATGCTGAGGCTCGTCCACTCTGTTGATTAATGTCTGCTCCTTCAGGCTCAGTGTGTGGACTTTGTACTCATGTCTGTCTGTTGGATAAAACACACAACAAAGGCCTCTGATTAAAGAGGACATTTCCACACATCCCTCGGCACTTACTGTATGTCACAGTAAAAAAAAGGTTTAGTTTACTTATTAGGGTTATTAATAACCAATTAGTAAGTAGTAATCATAATCGATTGCAAAATGAATTTAAAAAGTCAATATTAATGTCACAGAAGACAGCGATATTAAAAACAGAAAGTTCACGTACACACAAGAATCGAATAAACAGCTCAACAATTCAGAAACTGCCTTTTCCCTGGAAGTAAAGTTATAAGTAAACGTTTGACCATCACGACATGCTTGCCTTCCCTTTTTTTCTGTGGTATTTTTGTGGTAAGTTTTTTTTTTTTTTACCTGTTTCGTGTATCAGATTTTAGAGGGTGCTGCGCACTATAGTACTCCGGCTAATGTAGCTTTTCCTTGACAAAAGTGTAGATAGAAGATAATAACGAGTCATAAAAGCTAAATACACGATATTAAGTGAGAAACGTTTGTAGCATTTTATTAGAATTTGATTTATGTCATTTAAAATTCTAATATTTTGTACAAACGAACAAAACCTGCTGCGTGTGGAAATGGCAGAGCTGCTCCTTTTTTGGCAACAACTAACCGGAATAAGCTGCACATTCCCCCCCTTTAAAGCTCCCTTTAAAATGTACCGGAGCACATCGGAAATGATGCCGAGTGGTCTGGACGACTTAGAGGTATTGATAAATGTGACACAAAAAGAAGTTAAAAACAACGACAAACGTAATTGTATCTATAAATTAACCCTATCGTTACTGGTCTTAAAGGTGACGAAGTCCGTGTATAAACAGGAAAACAATAAACTGACAGTAACCGGTTCATGTTGACAGCGGGCTTCGAACAAGGACCGTGGCCTTGTTTCCTACTGTCCCGACACACTGACAAAAGAGCAAAAAAAGAAAAAAGAAAATAACAGAAAAAAAAGAGAAAAAAACCTACAGAATCTACCGTGACGGCCGTTCACTTCATTCACACTGTATACGGACACCGGGCCTCCGCCATTGTATGAAATTACGACTCACAATAATAATCGGGTTAAAAGCCCGGCCATGAAAAGACTACATTCGAACCGAGCGTTAACGATTCTCCGCTGAAGGAAAACAAAGCGTCATGTTCTATTTTCTGTGCGCGGCCTCTTCACGTCCTTCCTGTCCGCTGTGGAATCCACCGAGAAAATACCGACAAGTCAGTGCGCTTTATCATGCTCTTTGTCAGAGACATAAAGCCTTACCTTCTGGTGAGACTAGTGCCCTCCCCTCCCCCTCTGCTCCGACATCTCTCCTTTTGAAACACACACACACAAAAACACGGACAAAAACTCGTGAACCGGAGGACAGCGGCCGCAAACACAACCCAGTTCAGATCACAGAAGAACGAAAAAAGTCCAGATTCCCGAAGCCGTTCAGCACCCTGGACAGGGCCAGCCGAACCTCCAGCACCATGGACAGAAGCACCGATGCCAGTACTGCCTCCTATTGGTGCAAAGGAGAACTGCGACTAACCCCGGCGGTGTTTCAGAGGGACGGCCCTTCTGTCCTGAACTGAACTATCCAGCGGGTCCTGACTTACTGTCGACCCCGATCTGTGGATCACCGAAGGCGGTGTCAATATTTAACGAGGACGCCGCCGAGCAGCTGGAGAGAGAGAGACGGTACGATGATCAACAGCAGCAATTAGACAGTCACATGAAACCTTCTGGGAAGAGGCGAATGAATAATTAGAAGAAGAGAAGAGAATAGTTAGTTTTTGTAGTGATAATAGTAAAAGTAGAATTTAAGACGTTTTCGAGAAGTACTGTAATCACTGTACTGTAAGAACTCGTTGTAATGGTAGGATTAGTAGTTGTTAAAAGTATTAGTATTAGTAGCAGTTTTAGTGGAAGTAGCCTTTGCGGTAATATTTTTGTAGATGTGTTCCTTTGTTAAGTTTTTGGTGTTTTGCGGTGTAGCAATTTTTGTAACAGTGGAACCTGGCTAGTAGGATCACTGTTAGTAGTAGCAGTTTTAGTAGGTTTAGAAATAGTGGTTTTATGAGTAGATGTTAAAGTAGGTCTGGTTTTAGTTGTTTGTAAAGTTTGTTTTAGTAGTACTGTTATGGTATTACCAAAAGTAGTAGTGTTAATTTAAGTAGTTAGGTAGTGGATAGGAATACGTAACTGCAGGAGGCTTTTTCGAAGTAGTATTTGTTTTCGTACCTGTAGTATTAAGAGGATTTTAAAAAAGAACGTTCTTTCCTCATATCAACCATGATATTTTAGATAATTATTAAATAATGTATTAACAGGTGCATTGTGAAAAATCACATGTATCATATCTCTGTAAAATGTATTTTAAGGAATAAATAAACTAATAAATTAAATAATTAAACAAAGAGGAAAATTAATAATTTACTTCACAAGGTAAATTTGGGCTTTTGCCTAATGACTACTCTTTCTCAGTCCAAAAACACATTTTTACAGAGTTAGCTGCAACACTTATTTCAGACCAGCAGAGGGCGACTACGACCGCCTCGGCAGCTACTCGCAATGCTTTGTAATAGAGAAAAAGGAAACGAGAGGACTAAAGGGAGAAAGGGGGAAGAGAGAAATAAAAAAGGAGGGACGGAGGGGGGAGGATTTTTTAGACGAGAGGAGTCGTCAGTGGGATTTTCGTTCACAGCGGCCCCTCCTCCTCCTCTTCCTTCTCTTCTACTTTTCTCCTCCTCAACTCAGGTTAGCGCACGTTAGCTCCTATGCTAACACTAACTCAACAGTAACAGCGAAATCTGATTTTAACTAGAAACAGTGATTTAATTCTTTCTGCCAAAATGTAAAAAGAGAAAATAGGAAACTGTTGGTCAAGGTAGCACACGATTTAAAATGTGCAGTCAGTTTCGTTAACGTTGTGAAAAAAACACTCATTTTCAGCCAGAGGTGAGAAATGTATCACTAGCAGCGAAGTTTTAACTTTCTACGTTTTATACGTGTTCGTCTGACGTTACTACTTTTTCTCTAAGAAAAACTTCTGTTCTAAGTAACAGTGTTGGGTCTTAATTTTTTTGTAAAAATATAAAATTTATTGTTTTACTTTTTGTAAAAACTTAATAACACAATAACGTTGACTATTAACGTGAGTCTTTAATGTGTCTTTAGTTTTCCAGTTGTCTTATTGATATTTTGGGGGGGGTTATTGTTCTTTTATTGTTTCTGACATATTCTACGTACTCATAGTTAAATGCAATAAGTTGTAATATTACTCATGATTTGTCTCAAATAAAGCCTGTTTTCTGTTAACTTTAACACTAGATACTAGACTAGATATTTAGATTTTTACAGCTAACCTTTTCGCTGTATGTCACTTGTTTCTATCTAATTATACACTGTATTAGCCAAGTTGATTTTCTATATATCTGTCCAATATGGATATAAATACAATGCTTAGGAATTTACATTCCAAGTTAAGAATAATTCTAGATATCTAAATTCAGCTGTCATTTCTGTGATTGTAATTTTCTTCACTAAACATTCTAATAACTTTTGCTCCTGCAGCTGGAGGATGGACATGTCCAGGAGGCTGCTGGTGTGGCAGCAGCTGGCTGAGACTTGTGGTCTGAGTACAGTCCAGCAGGGTGTGGAGCAGGTGTGGAGGCTGCTGCTGCTCTGCCTCCTCTGCAGACTGTGTTTCAGACTGGGTGAAACTTCACAGACACCTGATGTGTTTTTGTTTAGTGACAAGCATCACTAAGAAGAGGCTCTTGTTGTTGTTGTGTTTGAAAATGATATTATTTTCTGTTTGTGCTTCACAGGTACTACGTCGACCCTAAAACACGTGTTGTCAGTGTTGACAGGGATGTACGGTCTCTTCCTATTCTTTGAGCTGCAGATGCTGTGGGTGCTGATGCTAAGTGCGTTCTGTTACCTTGTGCTTGTACTCACCCGGTCCTCCTCCACCAGAGGGGTCTTCCTGTCACTCGTCATCCTCATTTACCTCCTTTTTGGGTAAGATGCAGAAAAGACACACACACTGTGGCACTGCAAACCTAGCATAACCTTAGTTAATAAAACATGGCAGCGAGGCTCTTCTCCATATATGGGAGGTTGAATTTTGGATCAAACCATGCTTTCTGTGAAATGTAACAAATCAAGAAAAACTGAAAATATTCCTTTTGCATTTCTCAAAAGCACAAAACTTGTTTATTGCATTTTTAATTTTTAATGCTCCTAAAAACACAGAGAATGTGAGTTCTAGTGTGCATTGATTTTAGTAAGAAGCTCCTCAGTCAGTTAGAAAATGAGTTGTTTTGTGTTTTATTCTAGATGAATTTCACCTTCTTAATCAGATTCAACACCGGTGTGAGTTCACATTTTCAAGTAATTTGTTTTCATAATTTCAGAGAGTTGCATTTGATCGATGCAGTAACCTGGCATAAAATAAGAGGTAAATGTTCCTTCATCAAAGTATCATTTTATCATTGTTTCACTTACAGTTTCTTCAGTTGACAAATATTGAAACAGTCAACTGGTTATTGTTACTGTCATTACAACTGTTGTTATATTGATTAAGCTGTCTGTGTGTGTATCAGGTTCTCAGATGGTGGTTGCCATGAAGGCCATCTCTTTGGCCTTTGACCTGGACAGAGGAGCATTGAACAGCCTCCCCTCACCAGCTGAGGTCCTGGGTTATCTTCTCTTTGTGGGAACAGTTGTATTCGGTCCCTGGATCAGTTTCTCCAGTTATAAGAATGCTGTTGAAGGCAAAAAACTCGTAAGCTATTAATGTTCCCAAGGCCGTCAACCATTACAGATTTGTTCTTAACCAAAATATTTGGGTGGAGTTAATGATAATAATGTGATTGGTTCCTCAGAGCTGGACATGGCTGCAGAGTTCCTCCCTCTGCCTGCTGAAGAGTCAGATCTGTTTACTGGTCTCCACCTGCATTGCTCCATACCTGTTTCCTTTGTTCATCCCCTTCCATGGAAACACAGTCACAGAGAAGTAAGAAACAAAGTCAGTCCATTTGGGTTTCATTTGCATTACATTTTGCCTGATGCATGACAGGCATCGCAAACAGTAGTTTGAAAGCAGCCTTTTTTCCTTTTCCTGCTTCGAAGACATGTTTGACAGTAAGGTAAGTGTTGTTGTCACCGAGCCGAGCGTTTCCCTCCCTTCTCGTTTCAAACAGGTGGTGCTCTTCAGAGATTTATTTAATTTGAGTGGAACCAAATAAAGTACTTGAGTGAAGAAGTAATGCACATGTCTTCTGTTGCCCAGGTGGCTGGATGCCTATCAGAACGCAGTGTCCTTCCACTTCAGTAATTACTTTGTGGGTCACCTCAGTGAAGGTACCACCATGCTGGCAGGAGCAGGCTTCACGGAAGAGAAGGACAACATCAGATGGTGGGTTTAGATGAGTGAGAGCTGGAGATGAGATGCTCTGATCTGAGGTGTTAATGTAGAAGGCTTGATGCAGTATTCATCGGTATTTGTCCGATATTGGTCAAAATCAAAGGATCAAACATTAAGAAAATCTGATACTACAGTATACCTAAGGACAAATTCCACCTTGCGCCACATTACGTAAACAGGGACACTATCGCCTCAGATTGTCATAAGTATTGGCAGTTATTCCAAGTTGCAGTAATGCTGTCAGGTGATGAAAAAGGTTTATTGTGCAATCCAGAATTGTTAACTGTTTGTTTTGGTTACCACCTGCAGGGACATGAGTGTGGTGAAATCTCTGAGTGTGGAAATGCCTCGGTCCATGGTGCTGGTGGTGACGTCCTGGAACATCCCCATGTCCCGATGGTTGAAAACCTGTCAGCTTCCAATCTTTTCTTTGTATTGTCAAACTCATCAGACAGTGAACAATAGCACAAAATTGCATGATGAATGCTGTGTATGTAACTGATGTAGTTGGACACAACAGCTGCAAGTACATAGAAAATCACTGTGGAATATTCACACCAGGCTGGGCCTGTGTTAACACCTCTTCATTAGTCAACACATGTATCAGTGTACACACTACCATTGCTTATATTATTATTGTGACAGCCCTCTGCTCTGTATGTGTACAATGTACACATGTACAGAACCATGGGTCACAGCAGTATTTTCAAATCTCTACAACACAGAACACGTGTATTCCTTATTAAAATTTGCACGTACATTTCAATGTGATTAATTGTTACTGATTTGAGAAGATTGTGTGTTTAAATCTTTACATCATCACCCAACATGTTAATATTCTTTGGTGTGTATTTGTAATAAGTATCATGTTGTTCTACAATCTTTTGCAGATGTCTTTAAAAATGCCATGAAGATGGGGACGTTTGCAGCCATCCTGGTGACCTACACAGCCAGCGCCTTACTGCATGTCAGTCATTTTTCCATCATTATATCATTTTTATTAGCATCCTTTCAGATGAATCAGTTTAATATATTTTATATAATTTCAGGGTCTGAGTTTTCACCTGGGAGCTGTTCTGCTGTCTCTTGGATTCATCACATATGTTGAACATGGTATGAAGAATATGTTCTGTTTGGTGGTTTCTAACCTATGGCCAAACAATAAAGATAAAGAAGCATCTGCTTTGAAAACAGTACCAGTGTAATGTCCATTCACAGATATCACTGCAAAACACAGAGAATCAATGACATGACGCCTGTGATCATTTTTGTTTCTTCTCAGTTCTAAGGAAGAGGCTGGCATCCATCTTCAGTGCCTGCGTCCTTTCAAGGCCTTGTAGCTCCGGCTGCAGCCACCAACATAAGAAGGTAGACACTGGTTATCGTATGAGATCAGGCCTACACCAGGGGTCGGGGGTTAATTGTCCCAGGAGGCCACATGGAAAATTGGAATTGTTATTCGGGGCCATAATATACTTGATTAGGGATTACTCACTATATTGATATATAGATATATTTTAAATGTGTATTTATTTTACAGCAGGTATTGAGATGGTTTTTAAAGCTCCTGTTTGACTCTCTCTACAATGTCCTCGACCCATCTTGTTAAAGATTTTCAAGCGTTCTTTATTTTATTATTTTATCTGCTTTATAATTATATCAATGCTGCAGAGTTCACCAAACACTCTTTAACAACCCTGTCGGAGAATGTCTTGCTTAATCTTGCAGTTGTGTAGAATATTGTAAAATGCACTGACATGCCAGTCAATTTATTAAAAAAAACAACTAAATATTTCCTTTAAAATAAAAGCTTTCCAGGTGTATTTAATACTAAAATAGACTGAATAGTAAGGACGTAACCACCAAAAGGATTGGGCAAATGTAAAGGACATAAAATACAGATGGAAATCCATTTCTGTAGGTGTTTGATGCCTTTCCTCATGTGCTGACGTACAGGAATATTGGGTGGTGTTGTTGAACCTTCTCTTCAGCTTCCTGGCCATCTTCCACCTCACCTACCTGGGCTCTATGTTCGACCCTGGAGTTGATGAATATGAAGTTGAAGAGGTAAAATAACCAACACTGAACCTGTCATCATTTTATCACAACATTTGAACTATTTTATATTGTTTTGTTTGTTTTTTTATTGTTTTGTCTTGTGAACAGGGTTATGCAGCCATCCACACCATACAGAGATGGTCAGAGTTGAACTGGGCGAGCCACTGGGTGGTGTTTGCCAGCTGGGTCTTCTATCGTTTAATTCAGTGACGACATCGGGCTTGTAGTTTGGACATTATTAAGTTGGACGATCGACTGTTGAGCCCCACAGTCAGGTGGTCTGAAAATTTCAAGAGGACTGTGAACTTGTATTTTTTCTGACCTGTATCTCCTACCTTCATGTATCTGTGAGTCTTCTTCAAGGGTCAGGAGGTGAACCATAGTAAAGATCAAACACATGAGAATAGATCAAGTGAGTCAGTACTTCAACCTGTGAACAGGTGCAGTGGTACAGTTATAATAGAGGTATAATATGTTCAAAGTGTTTTTTATTTATGTTATTTGTTGCAATATTTTTTAAACAAAATCTTATTTGTACTAATGTTTATTTTCTATAAAATGTGTGTCAAAAATAAAAATAATGTCTGACGTGAGTCTTTGCTAAAGAAGCAAAACTATTTTATTGTATTTTCTCATTATCATGACTTCTAACCTAATAAACACAGGTTCTCAATTTGAAGACCAGTGAAATAGTGATCTGGAAAGAGAAGGATCTAACTCGGTTGAAAGCCCTGGACACTGAAGATTGGTACAAAGGTACTGTACAGTAAACCACATAAAAGAACATTAAGAACATTTTCCAGTTTTATTTTCTGATGTCAAAAAATATGGTTTTGATTAAATACGTTTTAGTGCAGCTACTTTTGTATGAGGCTTTGGACTTGGACCCCTCACCTGTCCTCTCACCTGTATCTGTAGTCAATCATTAATCTGACAGCATATACTCCAGACCAACACGGAAACAACAGGACACACATTTGTGGAAGCAGGTTTCATCCCTGGCTTGGAGACATGGCTGTTTTACTCTGTGTAGAGCCACATCCACAACATTGAACAGGAGAATGATAATGGGTTCTTTCTTCCCTCATAGTTTATAAGTAGAAGTTGGACAGAGTTATTTTTAGAATGGGAAGAGGCAACTGTACCTGGATAGGGCCGGAGATCCCTCTGTCCTCAGAGATCTTCAGCGGTAAGTTTATATCACACTTTGGCAAAAAAAATCACAAACTATACTGATTTGAGGTTTAATGTTCTTGTTCTGTTTATTGTAATCCAGAGGATGGATTGATTTTCCAGAAAACCATGGCTGAGATATACAGTATTTTTTACAGTGAACCTGAACAGTAAATAATTCAGTCCAACACATTGTGACCAAAATTCATACAAATGCTATTTCAAAAACTTTAGTCAACATATGTATAATGGTGTTAGGATATATTGTAAATATGGGAGAATCAATAATTACCTTTATTGTCCTTGTACATTTACACACACATGTATACAAAACACACAACACAGTTTGTCCAGCGATAAACTCACATACGTTTTCATTCCTATATCGCTTTGTAATGGGATTTTTTTTCCCCCATTGCACTTGTGTCTGAACTAATAACTCATGATTTTGGAACAGCAGCTCAATTCATGGGGAAGTTGTTCTTCTATTGTAGTTATTGTTCAACAACAAGATATAAATTGTGTTTATTTTAATGTATTTTATTTATTGTTATTCTTTGGCCAATGACAGGGCAGTTTTTCCGGGCCATTTTAAATAAAAATAAAAATAAATGCTAACTTAAACATGTCAGGGTTACTGTTACAGTACAATGGGATCTTTTATTAAATCTGCACCGTTACAACAACTAACTTAATGTAGAACACTTAATAAATAGTATTCATGAACAATACATTTCAAGACCTGATAAAATATACAACAAAAACTGTATTCAAATGAAGAAAATAAAATTTAAAATAAATATCAAATCATTAAAGATGAATGGTTTGAGAGTGAGAATATTACAGCATTGCCGCTGCACCATCTGCTCCAAACAGCCAAACTCAAGTCTAATGACTGTAAATGCTAAATGACCGGAAGGCCTTGTGTGTCAGAGGGAAAATGACATTCAGAGCCTCTAATCAACTCAGCGTTTCCTCCTGTCTTAGCCATTAAAGATGACCTGTGGCTCTTCCTCATCCCAGCCGGTTTGGCTGTGATTCTCCTGGGTGTGTTTCTGGAGGAGCTAGGCTTCATCCTGCGTAACATCACCTCATCCAGACGCAGGCAGCTTTACATGTGGATACTAGGAATGTACCCGGTAATGCTCCACACCTCGTTACCCCCAGAAAAAAACCCTTTTCCTTGTGTTCTTCCTGTGTGTTTTATTCTTCTGTTCCTTTGACCTCAGGTTTTTGCCCTGACCTCGGTCATAGCTCTGTTTGTGCCTCGCTCTTCTTCTCTGTGTAACTTCATCGCTTCACTGTGAGTACACCATTCTTAGAACAGACACAAGCGATGACAGATGTTATTTCATCTGATATTATTTTTGCAGGTATCACTCCATCACCCTGTTGAAGTTCATGGAACTGATCACAGACTTCTTTGGAGGGAAAACTCCTATGCTGGCTGCTCTGTCTGGACAGAAGGTTCCCCCTGATCCTTTTCCTTGTTGCTGCTGTTGCTGTCTCCCGATGGTGTCCATCAACAGGTACCATCCTCTCTAACGCTGTCACATTTTGAGAATTTTAAGTGTGTTTGAATGCAGCAAACAAGTAAAAGATATCCAAAACACCTTAATATCTGTCAAATAACTCCAGGTATGAAGGTATGATTTTGTTTAGGAATTAAAATGTTCAGAGGAGGTTTGAAGCATTACCTGTAGCTGTAGTGCTGTCTACTAAAGGGAGAGTCAGTCCACCAAAAGTGATAGTAAAAACATCCAATTGTAGCTAAAACCTTTTACTAGCCTAAACTCATTTTTGTGTGTTACGTGTGGAACAGTGTGATCTGACATTGATTTCTTTACACCATCTGTGTCCTTTTAAAGAAGCAGTCGTGTCTGGATGATGGCTGCTGTTCTACAGCTCTCTGTTGTCCGCACCATCCTGTTCTTTGTCAACCTGGTCTTGTGGACTGATGAACAGTACGACTATGGAGATGTGAGTGATTCACACAGTCCTCTAAGACTCTATGTCACTCTGATAACACCTCAGCCAGAGCTCCTTCTAGTTAATATAAAGAACAGACTTATGTGGTGCCGTCTGCCTTGTCCTCCAGGTGGATTCCGTCAACCCCAATCTGTACGTGAATGGTATCATCTGTGTCTCCACTTTTTTGTCCTTCTACGGCCACCTGCTGTTCTACAAAACCACTAAAAGTGCTCTACACGGCTACGGACTGAGAGCCAAGTTCATTTGTATCATCCTGGTGTTGGTGCTTTGTGGAGTGCAGAGTGGTATCTTGGAGACCATGGGTGCCCTGGAGGTCATCCCATGCACACCACCTTTGTCTGTCCTGACCAGAGCCCAGAGTGAGTTAGAGCAAATCTGTCACACAAATGAGAAAAAAAATCACCAAAGACCTGATTGGTTAAGAATGATAATAAATAGTCACTCTATTAACATCTGCAGCTGAGTCAAAATAGCTCTGCCATGACACCAGGATGATTTCTATCCACTCAAACTTTTATTCTATATGTCTGTCCATCCTCAGTGATCTATCATTACTGTGTGATCGTGGAGATGTTCTGTATTGGCCTGTACGCCCGCCACACATTCCGTAAGATAGAGCCAAGCATGTCGGAGGATGTGGAGATGCCCTTTGGTGTGTGGCAGGTAGACAAGTCTGTTCAAACTGAAGGTGAGCAGATGATCCATCACATGGTTTCTGTGACATCAGAAGGGGCCAGAAGGGGCCCATGTCGTCTTGGTGGCTCCAATCCAAGTTACAGTGACAGTGAAGACAGTCTCTGCAAGATAGAGCATGCTCCTCTGGATGGCTTCCCCTTCCCTCAGGCAAGACGTCAACAAAGGGGCAGAGCAGAGTTGGTGGAGCCAAAGTCTGGAGAGGAACCAGGAGTAGATCGGACCCAGATTACCATCAGTGCTGATATCAACTATCAGGACTCTACGAATGTCACCGTGGTTTAAATGTGAGGCCTTTTAACAAAATAGTAATGCGATAAAGCTAATATGCAATTAGCAACATCTTCCAAAGCTTGGACTTTTTGAGGGAGTAATACACTATTATGATTGTAAACTGTTAGACAGCTGCTAAGACACAACACATATTGGCACATGGGCTCAAACACAGTTGTATAAAAAAAGTTCTTTATTGGGACTGACCAAATTCAATTGGTACAATCTAGTAAACGCACTGGGAACTTCACAATGTCAACTTTGCATTTTTGGGATGGACAACAACACAGAGCTGCACCTTGTGGTTGTTTGTAGCAGTTGAGACTGTTTTTTAAAAAACAATTGCTGGGAACAGGGGTGGTGTTTAAGGCAATTGTCATTTAATCGCTGCATTGCTTTCCATCTTTTACAAATAAGTAAATCTACAGGAAATTAGTCCATAGCAGAGTTAAGGCTGTATTTGATTACAGATGCTTCTCCTTTGAGTATAATTTCATACGTGGGTCCTTCCTCCACATGGCACTGAGCAATCACCTGTCTGATGATGTGCTCATGGCCATAGAAAGAGACTGTGACAATTTGTTGTTCTCCAGGTTCCAGATAGCCATGCATGGGCAGGATATCAAACACCTCTTCCACACGCACCTGGCAGTCTGTCATTTCATATTCATACTCTTTTGGCTTGGATTGAAGTTCAACTTCACTGGTAAAGGAAGAGCTTTTTGACGAAGATGTTGTCTCTTCATTTTCATCCTCCAGTTGTTTATCCTGAACCATTTCGCTGTGCATAGCTGTCTCCCTTTCAGTAAGTGCCTGGTCCTCCAGGAACGCCCACAGGTAGGTGACAGGCAGCTGTGAACAGTTGGTCATTGTGAACACCATATGTGTCTCTGTGTAGTTCAGCACACAGCCAAAGTCCACTACATTTGTGGAGAAGTGGAGGTTGGGAAAATGGACCTCAGCATGCAGCTGGACCATGTCCTTCTGAGGGTGTCCCCGGTAGGACACCACAAGCAGCTTGTCCACCACTCTTGACACCCGATCTCGACAGTAATCCGGATGAAAACCAACCCACAACTCTGCCTGTTTGCCATCATCTAAAACCATGGACATGGTGGTAACTGTGGTTTCCTCCTCCGATTCACACAGGAAGAACGGCTCGGTGAGAGAGAACTTTGCAGTAACACACAGAGAAGACACATTCTTTAAAACCACTTTCTCAAGCATGGGTGTCAGATTCTCTCCAACAACCTTCCCGAGGCAGAAGCTCAGTGACCACGAGGAAAGGCTGAGCAGAGGTTTAACAAAGCGGCAGATGATATCTACAGTCATAATCTGCTCATTACAGCCTTGTTCGCCTACAACAGCACGACATACCAGACGCTCCCTAACAACTTTGGCAGTATTTGATGATCCCATTAGCAACATGTCCACAGAACAGCCTGGTAAAAGCTTCACTCGGGAGGGGGTGAGGCTGAACACTGGCTCTTTTTTTTGGGAGGTGATTGAGGATGCATCTTTTTTCTTGGGAGTGGAAGTGGCAGCCACAGAGGTCAGGCCAGATGACCCCTTCTGAGTCCATGTTTTAGGCAGGAAGCCATCAACGCCCCAGTACATCCAATGTGTCCTCTGGCCACGGTTGGTCAGTTTGAATTGGTACTTGCAGGAGCCATGGCTGAAGTGTGTTCCCAAGTCAAGGCTTGGGGCAAATGGCTTGTCACTAACGATTGAGGTGCCAGTACCTGTGGCAGATACAGAGACTGTGTGTGTTTCACTGTCCTGGATGGACACTTTCAGCTCATCCTGGGTTTTGATTGTATCTTTCAAATTGGCCACTACCTGAAGCTGCAGCTGGCTTTGAGGTGAAACTACCCCTTCACTTGGCACCACGTGCCAAAAGGATTTGCGATTGGTCATGCTTGTTGCAAAGTTGGCTGGAATAGGGGAATGATTTGACAGATGGAGAGTTTTGGTAATGTCTGTCAAAACAGGAATTTTTCCATAGTCCAACTGTGAACTGTGTACATGAACAAGTGGGCCTTGCCCAATACATGACAGGACCACTTCCACTGGAGTCTGTCCACTGCCAAACACTGCAATGTGTAAAATATGTTGCAACCATCCAGTGGCCTGAGCAAATATGGTCACTGAAAGAGTCTCTGAGGTTTGAGGAAGAATCTCTCCTCTGGGTTTGGAACAGAAAAATGTGATTGATGGAAAATACTCATATTCCTGATCAAGTACACCATAACAGGCAGGCAGACTGCTGGGATTGGTAATCTGCAGTTGTTGTTCATATGGGTAGTTAAGAAAACACCTTTGAAATTCCAACACTGGAGTCTTAACCACGATCTCAGGAACAATACATCTTGCATAAATAGGAAGACTTTTGATGGCCTCTCCTACACCTTCCACATCCACCGCCATTGTCATTTTGTATGTCCTGGCTGTGTTGGAGCACAGAGTCACCTTAATAGTGATATCTGACAAAGCACTTACACAGTCTT